CACCATCAGGGGCGTCGCTTCAGATTGGCACTTGCAGGGACGTCAGAGGTGGAGAAAGTGGGGGGCTAAGTCCCTCTAAGCAAACTTTGTGGTCCTTAAAGATTACTAAAGATAAGGGAGGAGGGAGGGCAGGGAGCAACACGGCTATTGTCAGGGTCCAGCTTTGCTCAGGAAAGGTGGGTCTGCAGGGGCTTATTCCGTTACTAAAAGTAACTAACTAGGTAATTAACTGTATACCTGAAAGAAGGGAAAAAGGAAAGACCAAGGGAGTCTTCTGTAGCCAGAACCTAGAAAAGCTCCATTAATAGGCCCTCTTCTGTTTCTCATTTCTGACCAAGCTGCCAGACAACCCCACTGGTGAATTTCCAGCTGGATTTATAATTTTCCTCTTAGTGAGAAAAGTAAGACATATTTTATTATAAGACACTCCCCCAAAAGCCAAATTCCTCACAGACTGTAGGTAATGTGAACCCCAAGTGGACTCATTAAAATAAGTTTTTATTGTAACATAAAGCACAGGCACTTAAAACCACACAAAACAAATGTATTGCATTGGGAATGATGAGAAGGCAAACGCCCCAGGAACCAAAGTCCAGTGAAAGAAGAGAGCTGTGCCGGCGACCCTAGAGCCCCTCCATGCATCTGTGGCCCCTGCTCCTCCCAAAGTAGTCCGCTCCTACCTGACTTCCTTGGGTTTATTTATGGTTTTATCACCCAAGTGTGTATCCTTAGACACTGTAGTTTAGTTTTGCCGTTTTTTTTTAGACGTCTTTTAAGTGACCAGTTCTCCCTCCATCGATTTCTTTTCCTTACCATTCATCTGTCGAAGCCTCAGGCAGTCTAAGCCGCAGTTTCCTACTGTCTGCATTTTGCCTGTGGTGCATGTCAACACGTCCAAGTGCACTCATTCTCAATGTAAATAATCACCCATTTGAAAACAACCTGTATGCAAGCTGTGTTCCGAAGGAGGGCACCACACACCGTAATCACTCTCTCATGAGTGTGTGGGCAAAGGGGGCGCTCACAATGGAGGTAATGAGGCAGGGAGGAAGTTGGGATCTGGGGGCAGCTCTCTGTGGATCTGGTGATTTATGAAAATCTTTTTGCAATTTGAAGTGACCGAGGAATGCTTCTCTTTAATGTCTTCCAATATAGTTTGCTTCAGCAGGAGACACATTTGGAATGGGGTTTGGCATCATGCTATGCTCGAGGGTCCAGGGTTGTATAACATTAGGTTTTATCAAAGATGATTGCATAATAGGATGTAGTGAAAACCTAAGGAATCTAACCCACTAACCAGACTCAACAAATGTAATAAATATAAATGATGGATGAAAGGAAGATTAGATCTGGCCATTTACTTAAGGTTTGGAGCAAGAAAACTAAGCTTTAAAATTTTGTCTTTTCTCTAATCTCAGCAGGCAGCCTGACGAACATAATTATTAGCATTTTCAAAAGGCTTTATCAAATATTGACTTAATAAAGGGAACATCCACTTAACGGTGACCTCCAGACACCTCCGGTAAGTCCAGGACTCTAAATTATATGCTCCAGGCTAAGCAACCCACACAATGGACAAAAGCAATGAGCAATGTCCTACTAGGAGACAGGAGGTTTTTTAACACTTAAAATTAAATACGTGTGGGGTCTGTTTTGATTTGCACAGAAAAAAAAAGCTCTGAAACTGATGGATACAATAAAAAAATTCAAAAGTCAAGTCATCTTCAAACCCAATAAGCTGCCGACACTACCTTCAAAACTTTATTACAGCATTAGTTGTACAGCCACAAAAGGGGCCTGAAAGACATCAGAGGAGGAATAAAAGAAATTAGGCAGCGGCCCCAAGTGATCACACTCTGGTTCTCTATTCTTTCTCTCCATGGTTCTCCTAGGGATTGTATTTGTGAAAGAAATCAAGATTGTGCATCCTCGTCCCTGTTCACAGTGGAGAGAAGGTGGGCCAGGTGGGAGACGCAGGGAGGGAAAGATAATCAAGAGGACTTAATGCAGATCTGACAGGCAGGTGGATTTCTTTCCTGGACTCAGGAGTTTTTAAAATCTGCTTGCAGGGGCTGGCCTGGTGGCATAGCGGTTAAGTTCGCGTGCTCTGCTTTGGCGGCCAGGGGTTTGCAGGTTCGGATCCCGGGCGCGGACTGACGCACCGCTTGTCAAGCCACGCTGTGGCGGCGTCCCATATAAAGAGGAGGGAGATGGGCATGGATGTTAGCTCAGGGCCGGTCTTCCTCAGCAAAAAGAGGAGGATTGGCATGGATGTCAGCTCAGGGCTGATCTTCCTCACACACAGAAAAAAAACAAACAAAAATCTGCTTGCAAGATTGGGTTCCTGCTCTTATAGTATAGATGGTAAGTGATTTCCAATCCTGGTTTGTACAGTGCTCTAGGGTATTTCCAACGATTACAATATGTGTGTTTAAAATTCTGGAAACCAAACTAATTTGAAGTCACTTTCACTGAAAAGGCAAACATGATTCAAAAGCCTTTTTCTTCGTTATTGTCCTAGTTTACCTTTCTGCAAGATCTGACGCTCCTTCTTGAAATCCCTTCCTGCCTGGACCCTGCGACACTGTTATTCTGATGTTTCAAGTCTAATGTTGGTCCTCCCGGCTGGCTCGTGCGGCTCTTCCAGACCCCATCTCTGGATCCCCAGGAATTCTGCAGAGCTCTCCCCTGAACCCTTTTCTCGTCCCTACCCCCCTCCCCAGCCGCCACTCTAAACCCCTTCATGGACTCCTCTCTTCTCAAGATTTCCAACTCCAGCCTGTAAGAGCTACCCACCCACGGTATGCAATCCCCTAGGGCAGGCTGGGCTGGGGCCCAGCAGTGATGTTTGAAGGCAGACCAGAACCTGCAAAGGGGGTTAAATCGATCATGGCTTCCATGCTTCTCTTAGCTCACTTCTCACGCGGGCTGGGCTTGGCATGAGCACGTCACGTGCATTGTGGCATTTAATCTTCATGCCACCTCTCTGAGAAAGCATGATATACCCATTTTCTACACATGAGAAGATTTAAGCTGGGAGACGGCAGGAGCTAGGCGAGGCAGAGCTGAGCTGTGATCCTAGCTCTGAGCCTGGCTCTGAACTGTCACACTCTTCTGTCTAAAGTTGGAAATTTTGTCCTAGTGTTTCTGGAGACTGGAAGGATCAAGAGCTTCGGGGTCTGCTCCTTCAGTGGGAGGACAGATCAGTGGTTACAGGTTCCAGCTCTGCTGCCCCTGCCATGCAACCGTGGGAGAGGGTCCTGCCCTGTCTGCACCCAGCCCTCCCCACTGACCACACAGCTTCCCCAGGAGGGTCCACCAGTGAAGGCAGGAGGACGTGCGAGGTCTTTACTTTGTACCTCCCTACACTTCCCAGTCGGAATGTGGTGATCTTCCAGGGACTGTGCCATTTGTAGGAGGACCAGGGCTTTGGCAATCCTTCTTGCAAACTGTGTGCATCAGTTCATAGAAAACCACTCTACTGATGAGACTCAACACTTGAACCCAGGGCTGTCAAAGAAAGTCCTTGACCTGGGAGATGTGAGGAAGAGGACAGAGACATGCACGGTTCTGTCTTTGGATCAGCAACAGGCTCTTGAGCCACCCCTGCTGAAGGGGCACTATGGCCAGGGGCCTTCAAACTCTCTGAACCATTTTAAAGTCTTTTTAAATACTGTCTCCATTCTGCATAAACCCATATTCCGCACCACCAGCTACCACATGGAAACGAAATATTTGGTGGCCTTTTCTTCTAGTTTGATCTAACTTTTTTCCTACTGAGTACCTAATTTTGTGAGCCAGGTTTGGAGCACTGGGGGTGAAGATGAATGTTGAAATAGCCATGGGGCTGCATTTGTTCATCATGTCTTTCTTACTCATTGGGAGTCAGCCCTGAGATGATCAGTGTGCGGCGTGTGGTCAGCCTGGGCCGCTCACTCACCGGGCCCACACACAGACTGGCTGATCAGAGCCTGGCACAGGGCTGAGGCTGCCATGCTGGAGGAGTAACCAATCAAAAGGACTAGGAGCTTAGTGTGTGTGCGTGTGTGTGTGTGTTAGAGTGACGTACCCTGCGTGGATGGCTGTGGTAGGAAGTGGGGTGTGATCAGAGAGACAGAAAAAAGCTCCTAGAAATGTGTGGTCACCTTGGGATGGATCTTGTGCCACAACCTGCACACACGGCCCTATTCCTATTGGAACTCAGGGAGTTAAAAATGAAACAACCCTTGAAACTGAAACCTAATTATCCATGTCAATTTATTAAATAACTAAGGTTTTCTGGGCCTTATTAAAATAAATGTTGAGTGTATTTTCTTATTCTTTGATGCTCACTTCTTCACTTGTCAGCACCTGCCACCAGCAGCTGGAGTAACCTCGCCAATTTTGCTGTATGTGCAAATCAATTTGATTTCCCCCCAAAAGATAAAAATCAGTAAAGTGATTAAGTTTCAATTAACGCATGTCACTGAAGGCACAGACAACATGAAAAGGCTGAGGAGGACTTGCCCCAAGGTCACCAGGGACTTCCTTCCACCCAAGTTAAATGATATTTTTTCTCATTCTCCTTGCCTGCTCTACTCTACGTGATATTGTGGGCGGTCAACAAGCTTCTTCCTACTTCTTGAAATTCTCCCCTCTTTTGGTTTCCATCATACTATCTTTATGTCAGGTTCCCCTCCTGGATCTCATACTGGCTACCTAACTGTTAATCTGTTCTTTCATCAGTCCGTCCATCCGTCCATCCATCCGTCCGTCCATCCATCCATCCATCCATCCATCCACCCACCCACCCATCCATCCATCCATCCATCCATCCATCCATCCACCCACCCGACAGACGTTTAAGGACCCAACGTGCCAGGCACTGGGAAAAAGGACACAGTATATTTGTCTTGTTTTACAGTTAAAAAATGCTTTTATATATATTATTTCATTAATTGCTTGCTACAACCATGTGAGGTGGGTGTTGGTATCCCCATTTTATAGATGAGGAAACACGCTCTGAGAGGATCTGTGATTTATTTACAACAGCACAGCCAGCAGGTGGCAGAGTCTAGACATGAATTCAGTAGTCTGGACATTTCATCCCAGTAAGAATTCATAACGGCATTCTCTTACATACTAGTCTAGTGTAATTTCTTGACTAGTCTCATTGTTCCTAATTAAATGTCACAATCCAGTCAATCCATATTTATCGAGACAGTGCTAGGCTCTGAGGGATGCCAAGACTGGGTCCCTGACCTCATACAGCTTGTGGTCTAGTGGGGAAGACAGACATTAATCATATGTTCACACAATAAACACATGTTTTCAAGGTATGAGGGAGAGCTGACCTAGTTATGAATATTAGGGAATTCTTCCAGGAGGAAGTAATCATTAAGATGCATTCTGAAGGATGAGTCAGAGTTAGCTTTGGGAAGAGATGGAAGAAAATCATACACAGAGAATGAAAAGCATGTGCAAGGGCCCTGTGGCAGGAAGACCCAGTGTGCTGAAATTTTCAAGGCCAGCTTGACTGGCATATAGTGAGTGAAAGGGAGGCGGACATAGGATGTGGTTCAGACCACATAAGACTTTGTAGCCACGATAATGATTTTTACTTTTAGCTTAAGAGCAATGGGAAGCCACAAGTCAAGAGAGTGATACGATTAACTTTGATTTTGATTCTGACTTCTGTGTGCAGAATGGATTGTAGAGGAGCAAGAGCGGAAGCAGGGAAAACAGCTGGAAGGTTTTTGTAGTTGTCCAGGCGAGAAGTGATGACAGCTGGGGCCAGGGTGGTGGTGGTGGAGATGGAGAGAAGAATCCCACAGGGGCCCCCTGCTCTGCTCAAGCCCACGTGCTCCCTAAACCCTGTCACCAGAGTGTGCTCACGAGTTTGCAGTACATGGGAGCTTGTCCACACTTCAGGGCTCTGCTGGAGTCTCCTCTTCCGGGAAGCCTTCTGCAGACAACGCCAGTCCTCCCAGATCTTTCAGAAGTGTGTCTATCTTCTGCATTGTCCGTTCTCACACCTGCTTTTTCTCTATGGCTTGGCTGTTCTCCGGTCCATTCCTGGAGGTGCCTTCATTTCTCTTGTTGTCTTGCTTTCTCCCTTTGGAAAGTAAATGCTTTGTTGGCATTCGCTGAATGGTATCAACAGGGCTCCTTTGGAAATTACATTTGTAAATGTTTACTCATGCCAATTGCCTTTTTTATTTTTTCTAAATTAAACACTGGTTGCTTAAATCTGTTTTCATAATCTCGTTCTACCAAAACATATGTCCCAATTTTTCTATTATTTCCTCTAAACTCTTTTCCATATTTCTCCTAGTAGAAAGCAGTTTCAGGGGGATTGGAGTGGGGGCGGGGTAGGGGCAGGAGTGTAATTAAACAGGGGCTGTCTGACCAGAATTCCTATACCTTTTAATGGGGTATTTGATTAATCTTTTCCACAGGCACCATTATTCATGCCTTGATGGAATCTCATTTTATAGCCCTTAATACGTGGACCCAATTTATCCACATCACATTGTATTCTAATACTTGTCATCCAAGTTATTAGCTATCTCCTTCTCAGTGTAAAATCATCAGCAAGTTTGATTAGCTTATTCCCTGGGGATGAGAAGGGAGATAAGAACAGACACAGTACAATATGACCACCAATGGTTCTGTATCCTCAAAAGACTGCTAAGTGAAATCCATTTATGGAGCCGGGGTGGCCAAAATAAACATCTGCTCCCGGGGGAGGGTGTCTGTGTGGGACCTAGGAGCCGCAGCCACAAAGGGCCAATGCCTGTTGTGCCTGGCAGTACTAAACCATCCTCCTGAGTGGGATCACTTTAATAAAAAATAGTGGGGCTCCTCCTCTCCCGCTTCCTAACATCCCCTCACCCCCCAAATATCCTTCCTGAGAGGCACAGCCCAAAAGCTCCTCTTTATTTTAGCATACCACTTCTGCCTTAAGTCCCTGTTCTTTCCCCACTGGGGACCTGGTAGGCCAGATAATCTAGAAGGAGATGCACAGTGCTGTGTGTTACTCTCTCTCCAGCACAGAGTTGGCTCTAAGCAGCCAGCCCCTTCTTCCTCTTCTTTGGAACCAAACCTGAGCCTTGGGATTCATAGGTGGCTTCAGTCCTTTCTAAGCAAGGTTGCCCCTTGGCCTAAAGGCAAGACTCCTGTAGGATGGTAGGCTCAAAGCCCACAGAGAGTTTCCAATGTCCCTTCCTCTACCCAACCACCTTTCCTCAGCCCAATCAGGCAAAACTCCCACAGCCCCCTCTGGAGTCCTTTTAAAAGCTCCCACCATCATTTCACCAAAGGCCCTATATCAATTATTCTTGTGCTTTTCTGAGCCCGGCAAGAGGAGGATGAAGAGGCCACTCTTTGTGGTGGTGCTCCTCCTTCAAGAGGTCGAGCCTCATTCCCCTCCCCTCGAGTGTGAGTCAGACCGAGTGACTTGTTTCTAATGAACAGAATCAAGCGGAAGTGACAGTGTGTCACTTCTGAGACTAGGTCATAAAAGGTATTTTGACTTCCTCTCTCTCTCTCGTATTGTTGGCTTTGAAGGAAGTTAACTACTATGTCATAAGTAGCCCTATCGAGAGGCCTAAGGTACTGAGAGCAAGGAACTGAGGCCTCCTGCCAACAGCCAGGTGAAGGCGCCATCTTGGAAGTGGATCTCCAGACCCAGCCAAGCCTTTAGATGACAGCAGCTGTGGACAGCTTGACTGCAACCCCATGAGGGACCCTGAGCCAGAACCACTCAGCTAAGCCACTCCCAAGTCTCCAGAAAATGCTCAAGACAATAAATATTTGTGGTTTTAAGCTGCTAAATGTCGGGGTCATTTGTTATGGAGCAATAAGTCACTAACACACTCTCACTATCTCAGAGGAAGGCCTTGGTCCCCTCCGCCTCTTCAATTCCCTTCTCAGGCTCCATTTGATCTCCTCTCTGCTCAGGGAGCCTGGTGTCCCTCTGGTACCCTCTGCCAACCCATCCCTGGCCTCTCCTGTGTCCTCACAGTCTCGAAGACTCTTTCCTGAGAAGAGGGGGATGGAGGGAGGAGGAGCTCTGCGTGGCCTGGGTTTGGAATGCTAGCTCCTTGCCTGCCACCCAAAGTGACATCTGGAATTAGGAGAATAACTTTTTGCAGAGAGCAGCCTTCCTCAGGCCATGAAACTCCCTCTCGTTTCTGAACCGGGGGCCTAATGACTTCAGTCAGGCCCACAGTAGCCATGAAAAGACTTCGCAAATAACGCGTTCCCTTTTGTATCATATGCTCACCTCCTGTACCCTTTTTGCTCATCTGCAGTTTCTGCAAAAGGTCATGTCTCTTTTCAACTTTGTGGTTAAGTGCCTCTGACACTAAGAGGGGATTCCAAAACTGGAGGGAGATGCAAGCTGCCTTAAATGTTGCAAGGTTTGCCACTCTACTCCACCCTTCCTGGCGGTGTCCCCCCAGCAGACACCACAGTCATAAAGGAGGTGGTGATCTGGCTCTCACTTCTCTCATAATTAGACAAGAAACACAAATGTAGTTTTTGATTAAAAAAAAAAATCCAGCTTGCTCTTTTATCTGGTTAAATCCTAGTCATTTTTAGAAAACCTATCTCAGGTCTACGGGACAAGGTCAGACAGTTATAGATGTCAATCTCTTGGAAGGCTTGGAAAAGGTAAAAAAGCAGTGGCCCTAAGCAGTGGAGTGGACCCCAAAGCAGTGGTGCTCAAGGTACAGCCCCTGGGCCAACAGCATCAGCATCCTCTGAAGGCTTGTTGGAAATGAAATTACTGGGCCCCACCTCAGAGCCACTGAATCAGAAACTTGGGGAGTGGGGGTGGGGGAGGGGAGCAGCAATCTTGGTTTTAACAAGTCCCCCAAACAATTCCAATGCATGGTTAAGGTTGAATATCACTGACTTAAAGGATTAAACATCTAAATTATTCATTCATTCATTCATAAGACATTGACTGAATGCCTACTATTTGCCAGACACTCTGAGGCAATGAAGAGGAATTATAAGGAATTCCTTCCTCAAGGAGTTCACAGCCCTCTCTTGCCTTGCTTTATTACAGAGCTTGAAGAGAGAGCAGGAATTCGAAGACACTAATCCAAGGAATGCAAATCATTCTTTACATGTAACTCTTTTCAATGGACAGGAGGCACAACAAAGTTGTTTTTTTCCAGGAATGATCATATTCTTAAACAGTAACTTTTCTAAAGAAGTCAATGTGTGGGTTTAATATATCATGTACAGCTGGCTCAGCCTTATAATCTTAAAAGAAAAAGATTATGTGATTTCACCATGAATGAAATGCAGAATTACCTTAAAGATTCACTTATGCATCTGTCTTTTAATGAACAAAATTTTCTGTGTTTCATTATCTCCCTTGAAGAGTTTCTCCTCTCTTTTTCTGTAAGTCTAAGTAAGTCATAACAACTAAGATGTATCATGTGCTTCCTATGCCCGGGCTGAGGGATGGCTCTATATTTGTTAACTCATTTGATTCTCCCCCAACCTTATGAAGTAGACGTAGCAAACACAACGGTCTGTAGATGAAGAAGAGAGGCTGGAAGAGGCAGGAAGAGGCACCCACACCCATCTCTCAGCTCCATGCAAATTACTCTCCCGTGCTGTACTCTCAGCCCCAATGGGTCATTTTGCTGCAAATTAAAACTGCTTAATGGGGAAAACATAAAAGGAAATACCACCATCCCCTAAAAGATTTCCAGTATGAAACCACTGGCTAAAGCTTGAATTGAAGGATTTACTTTTAAATGTTAAAGTTTATGCTAGATTTCTCCTTCAGTACTAAAGATAATTAAAAGCTGGCTATAAACTCCTATGGCCACCAGCATTAGGGGTCTGCATAAGAATCTGGTACATGCTCAATAGATCCAGCTTTGAGAAGATGCTCCACATCTGTTCCTTCCTCAGGGTGCCTCAATGATGCTCAACAACTCACTGTAATACTATTAGGGCAGAGATTTTCCTGTGGTTGGGGATGAACTCGAGTTGATCCAGCCATGGCTGGGACCTTGTAAGTTAGGATGCCCAGTTACTCTGGCAGCTGTGGAGATGAAGGGTGTGACCAACGACCACAGAAGAAATCAAAGCTGTCTGGCTGGACCTGCAGCACACTCAGCCCCCTGGCATGGGCATGAGCCTGCCCTGGCTAGCTGAGTTCATCTGCCACACAGGCCTACCCTTCTTCATTTACAGGGGAATCACGGGTCACCCATGTTTTGGCAACCAGGAGGCTTCTTCTGCCTATTGCATCCTTGGGAATAACCGGGTAACTTTAGCTATATGCAACCAAGAAAATCTAAAGTCCATGTAGGCTGTGTAGAAAACTGTGTAGGTGTCTTTTGAGCCACATACAGAGCATGCAACTCAAGGTGAACTGAAACGCACCCACCTTTCTCATCGGCTTTCTGTAATCAAAGCGTTTTAGAACATCAAGTCCAACCCCCATCTCTTTCTAACTCAGGGGTTCTTGCTGGCTTAATTGATGTGATTAGTGGCATTCTGTGGAACTACAGACATGAGATGTTGAGCTCACAAACGTGTGATTCATTTCAGGATTCTAAAATGAGAAATGCACCTATCAATGGCACACTGGAGGCTGGGAGATTCTGAGAAAGCACTTCATGCATATAAATGGGACATACGATGAAAAAATTTGCTTATGGTTACAATCCTGAAGCCAGGGACCACGCCACTGTGCTCTCCATCCTTGCGGAGTGACGGCTCCGCGGGAAACCGCTGGGATTAGACGATCCTGCATTTGGACACCCATCTGCCACCTCATTTATCTACCTGTGACAGGGATAGTGCTGGAAGAGAATCAAAAGATGACAAATTGCTTCTGGTTTTAAAGGAGCTGTTCAGGCTGGGTGTACGCCCAGGGGGAACCAGGTTTCACGCCAGGAGCCATCACTTCATCCCGTTATAAGGCCATATTTTGGCAAACACCAACCAGCAGATGATTGTTATCTCCTTTCACCAGTGGATTTAAAGACACTAGCTCAGAAAGCCTGAAATCCAGTCATTCTGAAGACGTGCGCAGCAGAGAGCAGACCTGCCCACACACTGCAGAGAGGCAGGACGGCA